AGAATTTTTAGTAAAAAAAAATGTTAGCCAAAGCACAGCATTTTGCTGACATAACTAAGCTGGTTGTGGTGACTACACTGCCCACAGGTTCTTCATTTCAAAAGGGCACACTACCAGGCTGGTGACTGAAGTCAGCTAGGTTGGGGAGCTCAGGCTATTGAAGGCAAAGCTGGCTGGAAGTTCTATTAAGTCAAAGGTGCAAAGGCTGTATGAAATGTGTACTACTGACAAAGGGGAAAAATTTTGTGAGGGAGTTCCAGATCAAACTGGCTGAATAACCACTTCAGAAAGGAGGCTGGGAGTAACTGCAGATACAAGGAACAGAAAAAAAAAAAAAAAACCCACCATGTTTCAGTGAAGATAGCTCTGAGATTGCAAAGTGCTCACCTGAAATGGGAACTCGCAAAAATCAATTTGAGTTACACCTTTCAAGGTTAAATGGCAAAAGGTGATTCAGGCACAGAAATAAAAGGAAAACAGAAGTGGAAAACTGTAAAATTATGTCTGGTCAATATGCAGAATCATTTAATCTGGCCTCCATATTAAAAATTTACTTTGAATGAATATTATAACAACAGTAATGTTCATCACTGGGGCAAAGGCAAGGACAGATGATGGGTAATTACTGTGTGGAAATTAAGACACTGGAAAGTGGAAGAAAAATTAATTCTTAAAGAAGACGTTATGAATTCCTGTTGTGGGGGACTGGGAGATCTTCCCCCTGGATTCTGTGGGAAGGGATACACCAGGTCGCGGGTCCCATCACGGCCACCCTTGACTCTGCCAGAGCAGGAGAAATACTGCATGACAGATGAGGGAGTGTAGTAACTATAGTTAAGCAGGGAAAAGTGGCACCTGCAGGCTTGTTAGCATGTTCTCGGCAGCACTTCATGTGAGACAACAAAGAAAACGAGAGTGTTTTCGGTGTACGCAGACCTGCGTAGTTACGGGACGTTCCTCGTCAGATCCACTCGAGTATGGAAAGTCAAATGGCACTGTCTTGGTCTCTCCTGTGCTACACCCAACTTCAAGGGTGCTCTGAAAATACTGCTCTTCAATAAAATGCTGTCTTAGCCACCGACTGCGGAGCGCATCCGAGCCCGCGGAAGGGCTGCCGAGCGCCCGGCGGGCGGGCGCGGGGTTTGGGTGATGTGGAGGTGCCACCTACAGGCAACTGCCGTTAGTGCGAAACTCAGTAAAACCAGGGCTCTCCGCCCAGCTGACGGGCACCTTTTATTCCTCTCTGTTTTCCCGGCACCCGGGGTGCGGGGAGCAGCAGCAGCAGCAGCAGCAGCAGGGGATCGCGCGGAGGGCCAGGGGACGCGACCCCATCCCCGCTGCCTCGGGGACACCGCTGCTGCTTGAGCCGCTCTGCAGGCTGCCTCCTTCCCTCCGAGCCCGGGAGGCAGCTGGGAAAACGAGCACTTTTCATCAACCCGGCGCTGGGGCCGTGCCCTGACACGGGGCTGCCCGGCAACCAAAGCAGCAGCGTCCTCGTATTCGGCTCTGTCCTCGCATCAGGGGTCATCTTCATCTCTCCTGAAGAAGCCTGCTCTTACCACGGTCCAGTTGCTTCCCTCGCTGCCGCAGTCGGTTATTACCTGCTCAGCAAACACCACAGCAGTCAGGGAGTTTCTGAGGGAGAAGTGGGCTTTCACTGCTTTATCCTGTTTCTCTGCTTTACCAAGTGTATCCCACAACTCTGAACTGTCCAGGAATTGCTCCCAGCCAAGCATCCGGGCTCCCACTCTAGGCGATAGAGATGCAGGGAGCAGAGGGTGACTTGTCCCTGCAGATCTGAGGCAGCCTTCAATGGTGCTGAGCCCACAGGAGACCCAGGCACTAAATGTTGTCAGCCATATCCTGGGCTGCATCAACAGAAGCGTGGCCAATGGTCAAGGGAGGTGATTCTGCCCCTCTACTCTGCTCTGGTGAGAGCCCACCTGCATTACTGCATCCAGCTCTGGGGTCTCCAGCACAAGACAAACGTGGACCTGTTGGAGCAGGTCTAGCGGAGGGCCACAAAAATGATCGGAGGGATGGAACACCTCTCCTGTGTGGAAAGGCTGAGGGAGTTGGGGTTGTTCAGCCTGGAGAAGAGAAGGGGAGACCTTTTTGCGGCCTTTCAATATATAAAGACAGACAAAGGCTTTTTACCAAGACCTGTAGCGACAGGATAAGGGGCAATGGTTTTAAACTGAAAGAGGGTAGCTTTAGATTGAATATAAGAATGGTTTAGGTTTGTTCGTGAAAGTGGTTTTTGTAGTAGTTAGCCTTTGGTCTCTTTACTCCTAGGGCATCTGCAGCCTCAGCAGTCTGGGCAGTGACATGGTTGTGAAGCAGAAAAGAGTGGAGGATACTGTGGTCATGAGGTCTCTTTTCTCTTGGGTTAACATGAGGCAGCCCTGCACTCCCTGCAGTGAGGCACAGACAGTGCAAGCGTTAGACAGCTGCCACTGCAACAGGGACAAGTGGGAAGGATGGAAGTGGAAATGAATGGCCTGTGTAGGTGCAATTTTCATACAAGACCATCTCCTTTCGCAGGCTCCTATTATTTAACCACCACCTATGGGGCCCTGGAGCACATCAAGAACTATGACAAAATCACGGTCACACGACAGCTGAGTGTGGAGGTGCAGGACTCCATTCACCGCTGGGAGCGACGAAGGACGCTGAACAAGGCCCGAGCTTCCCGCTCATCAGTACAGGTAGCTGGCATTACTTTCTAGGGAAAAAGCCTGGAAGATGAACTTGCTCTCTCCATGCTTACAATTTTTAATGTGTTAATTATTTTAAAACAAAATTAGCTCAAACCACTATTAAAAAACGAGTACATACAGCGCAAGATTTCCAAATTTAAAAAAAAAAACCACACCTCATTTGAAATATATATTACTTACAAAATGCATTTTGAAGTCTTGAAGTACCTCACAAAGATATAATTTTAAATATGACTGCAGAGTGATTTCATTGTTTGTTCTTGAAGGAGGCATGCTAGGAGTGTTCACATGTGGAGAGCTGCAGTGGGGAGGCAGGGAGCCCCTCTTCTCCATGTCCTTAGGGCCTGAGGAAGTCCTGGACTAAGCTGAGAAGATGTGAGCGGGCTAAGCCTAGGTGGGGTAAAGCTGTAGGAGGACCTGAGACAAGCCAAGGGCGAGTCAGACAAGTGTCTTCCAGAGCCTGCTTCTCCTGTCCAGCAGCAGGGAAGACTCAACAACAGCTGACTAGCTTTGAAGCCCATGCTGTGTATGGCCCGGCAAAGACCTCCCCATGCACTAGTGGGAGAGGGTCCCAGAAGGGATGGGTGCTCTGGGCTTCCGGCCATGGTAAGGCTGGATGCAGGACCAGTCGGTCGGGATGTCGTGCCAGCCCCATGTCTTGTGATGAAATAGTCATCCACAGGGAGGCAGCAAAGGCCACGTCTCGGTTCTGTAACGCCTTCACAGTGTAAAACTGAGACTTGGGAATGCTGAGGGGAAAGCCAGGGGAAAGTCTCCTGACTGGGAGACAGTCCATACAGCCCTGTGAAAGCATGAGGTTTAATAAGCTTCCCGTATTGCAATTAAAACAGTCCGTGATGATCTCAGAACATGTGACTGGTGGATGGGACACATCAAACAACCATCCAGTCTCCAGTGCTACTCTGGCAGTAGCTCCTAGCGAGTACCTAGCAAGGAGCATAATAGCCAGGTGAGCAAATGCCACATTTCCCCAAAGATTCCCACCACCTCCAGTAGTGTAAGGGCTGTCTTCCATTCCTTTGAATGAGGAGTAATATCAGAGACATGGGAGCCCATCCTGGTGGAGACAACCAGCGTGCCCCTGCAAGCCGTACTGGCTGCCTTACTCGTCAGCAGTGATACTTCATAAGGCAGTTTGGAAACCCATAGTCCAAGTATTTGGCAAATCTCACTTCTGCTGGGGAACCTGAGTATTTTCTGACCAAAAACGCTGGGATTTTTTTTTACCTTCACAGATACAAATTAAACATGTAGTTTCTACTATGGCCAAAGGTTCTCTGGATTCTATTCCTCATGAGTTTGGCAAGAGTAAAGTTGTCCCAACAGTCATTACTGCCTGAAACAGTATACAAGTAAACAGCCTCCTCAGCATAACTACATCTTCTACTTCCTTACTGATGAAGTTTGGAGGACACGCTCTCAAAGTGCTGTGTGGGTAACAGTGGAATTACAAGGGTCAACGCACTGCCAGCCCTTTCCTGTTTCTGTGAGACGGCGGTTTCAGGCCAGATCTCAGGTTTTTGGCTTGTTATTCTGGTCTGTTACTTTGCATCTTACTTCTTCAGGAGCTGTAGAGAGATGAGAGAAGGAACTGTTGCAGACTGCTCACTAAGAGTAATGACCAAAATCAGAAAAACACTTTCACTTACATGTCTTTACAAGACTAATTATTTAGTTAAGTGTTTGTTAGATTAAGTATTTGCTGATTCAGAGCTTGTTCATCAGAGGGGAGAAAGGAGAGAATAACTGGGGCATTGGAGGATGATTGGAGGATGTTTGAGAGCGTTTAAGATCTCTAGGTAGTTTGAGTTTTGGGGCTGGATTCTGCCTCCTTCGGGTCTAAGTCAGTGTGTTAACTGCAAGAGCTATCCTCATGTCTCTCTTCAGGATTTCATCTCTATCTCTTTTCTGGAAATCGGTGCTCAGTCAAGGACACTTGCTTCCCGGAATGACACAACAGCTGAGCAGCTGAGCCAACAGTGTGCTGAAAAGTTTGAAGTCTCCCATCCCAAGGACTATGGACTCTTTGTTTATGTTGATGACCAGTGGCTGCAGCTGGACAAAGATGCCCTTCCTCACCATATCAAATCCTCCCTGCTGAAGAGTGAAACCAAGAAAGATTTCCACTTTATTTATAAACCAATAGACCATAAAACCCCACCAGTTCCAATTGTTAAAGAGTCAGACTTTTCCTAAGGACCGTGCTGCTCTTCTGTTGTGTTTGCTGTCATCCTGGAAGGGCTGGATAGTTTATCTCATGAGATCCTCCGGTATCTGCAGACCTCAGAAGGTCTCTAGAGCATGGCCTTCGGCATAGGGCAGATGTGCTAATTGTAGATGCTGTCTGAATACAGGGCATTTCTCAGCAGAGTTCACTTGCAGAAATAAAAGGAGCATTCAGGAGAACATTCATCCTCTGGAAAACTTGAAGTATCAAACCTCAGAACCTCCCACCGGCAACCAGCCAATATTGCAGGATGTTAAATGGACAGTGAATAAAGTCCAGAGATCTTGCAGAAAAGTGGACATTTACTCCATAATGCATTACGGCAGGTGTGAACCACCTCTGTGCACACGGCCCGTGAAAGGTCTGCACACACCTCGGTGCTGTCTGGAAGTCAGATGGCATTTATGCCTTACGGTATCTGTTCACCCAGTTCAAATAACTGTCTGATGTGTTCAGTGGCAGAGGGTTGCCACCTGTATCAGAACTTGATCTCTGTCTTGCTGTCTACGTGTCATTACCTTCGAAATCCACGTAATTGCAGACCATGCAAGAGGATCCTGTACGTTCACTAAGAATGCATTTTCTGCCATCTATTTGTCGCTGAAATCAGGTAGCATAGGCATTTTCATCAATGTGTTTTTCTGAAAGATTCAAAATCTTCACCGTCAGTTTTACATGTACAGCAGTTTTAATCACGTTGGTTGTATGATAGTGTTGGGTAAGCTGTATATTTATTTCCATGTGTGATATGGTGCAATTATTTTAAAATAAGCATCTGTAAAGAACTTAATACCAGTGTAGCAAACCAGATTAAAATTTGGAAGTCAAAAAGAGCTAGAATTAAATGCCTGTCCCTTTTTACCCAGACGTCATTTTTCTCTAGTGTTTTCGTATCTCCAAGTCCCACCAGGTTATTACTTTAATAAATTCAGGCTGTTGCAGACAGAACGTACTAATCCTCCTTTTACATCTGCTTTCAGTCATTCAGTCATTGCAGACTTAGATTTCCCTGCAAACTTAAATTCCCACAGAACAAATTGAATCAATGCAAAAATACATTTAATGAAATTTGAAAACAATTTTTCAGGATTAGATAAAGGAAGCGGGAGCCTTAATGGCAAGACAGATCCATGTCTTCTGGGTGCTTTCATTCAGGCAAGATTCCCACTGCAAACACAAGATACTGGATTGTCTGCATGCAGGAGGCGACTAACCTCCACTACAGCTACACAAACTTGGGATCAGGCCTAGCAAAGCTTCTGATTAGAAAAACGTAAAAGGGCATTTCACTGTTGGTTTTGCTCAAAGCTACTATACTTTCCTCCCATTAACATTCAAAAAAGTATTGGGAGAGATTGGGCTAAGTTGCCCAAGGTCCCTGCCTTACTCCTGAACCTCCAAAGGTAAAATGGTATTGCATGTAGTTGGTCACTCTCTCAGTCTCTGGGGCTTGAAATGTCCATGTCTACATGCCCCAGCTGTGGTGGGCACTGGCCAAATCTGCATACAGATAGCAACCCAACACTGTGTATCTGCCAGCTTGGGCTGCACGCATGTCTCATCAGGAAGGGACACAACCAAGAATGAGGAACAGTGAAAAACAGCAGTCTTGGTTTCGAGGACACCATGTGCACAACGTGCAGTGTGTGATGCCTGCACTGGTCTGACTCCAAATTCATGGTTATTTCTGTTCCTGTGCAGCTGTCAGCACCTCTGCCTTGCCTCTGGGCAGCACACCCGCAGGACACCAGAGCTGAACCCCTCCCTCGTGGGGCCATTAGCCTCTTGCAGGACAGTGTACTTCTGCCGGGAGCCTGGGCTGCTCTCAGGGTGGCACTCGAGATGCCATGACCAAACTTAAGATACAAGTTTCCAGTACTGATCTGATGGAGGAGATGCCACTCTCAGGTCTTCAAGGGCACTCACAGGCTTCGCTTCCTCCAGTGCTCCCCAGGGCTACCCCACCCTGCCCACGGCCCAGTTTCAGTCTCCCAGGGCTATCAGCCCCTGCCGCACTGATGCCACAGCAGGGCTGGTCTCCAGCTCCCACAGCTATGTCCCAGCCTGGCCTCTGCTTGTCCCCATCCCCAAGGATGCCCAGGACTGGGGCTGGCCCTGGTGCTCCCTGCAGTCCAGTCCTGGCTGTAGCAGTGGGACAGGCCCCCAGGGAGCCCACATGGCCTCAGAAGCTGCTGGCCTCGCTGCCCCAACAGTAGCTTGCCTGCATCCATCCTGCAGGCTCTGGCAAGGACATTGGCTCTTGCCCTTCCTGCTCTGGATGTCGTGTGCCGATGGCTTGGTGGCAGGTCCTCACCAGCGGGCCATGTACAGGGTCCCCTGGGTGCTCTGTCTGTGAGGCAGGATGTCCTCACCCTGCCCAGCTCCTCGGCCCACTGCCATCCCTGCGTGTTGGGCAAGCTCATGGCAGCTTCCTCTTCTGGTGGAAGCACTGCCAGTAAATCCCTGACACACAGCACAGAGAGGCTGGTTGTCCTGTTTCCACTGTAGGTATCCTCACTGATGTCCATGCTGACCTGCTCCATATTGGCCATACCAAGAATATCTCAGCTCTCACCGCTGGGGCTGTGGCAGCAGGAGGGGCCAACCTCTGGGCAGCATCATAGAATCATAGAATCGTTAGGGTTGGAAGGGACCTCAAAGATCATCTAGTTTCAACTGTCCTGAACCTTCCTTTTTTCTCAAACCTACCCCCCCACACACACTCTCCAAATCCTCCGTTTTACACCCACTCTCGCAAAGGAGAGTGGGTGTAAAAACCACCCCTCCACCTCTCACCTCTCTTCCCCACCCAAACCAGGGCCCAGAGTAGCTCTCTGGCCTGCCTCCCAGCAACCTCCTCACCTCCTCTTGGTAGGACTGCAAGCCATGTACCCACCTTGCTTCCCATCACCTGCACACAGGTATCACACTGCATGGAGTCCGTGTACGGCAGGACTGGGGGTCCCCAGTGCCAGACCCAGAGATGCAGTGGGTCTGACTGGCAGCTTAGTTCTGACATGGCTGCAGCAAGTTATTTTAAGCCTCAGGAACAAAGATGTCTACGTCTGCCAAAGTCCTTGGCCTGATCAGGTTATCTTTATACTGTCACATTCACAGTTAATGAGCCTAAAGTAATCTAACAGGGATGAGGCTAAAGTAGAAACATGCAAGAAAGGAAGCTAGGACTGACCTTCTGCTGGATATTTCTGGAGAGCAACTGGACTTTGCACTGGGCAGGGTCGCGCAACAGATTGATGAATTGAAGTGCTCCGGCATCTGGCAGCATCCTGGGACACCTGAGTCAGCAGCTGGACCTCAGGGTGAAGGAGAATACAGCTGATAAGTGAAGCCCGTGGAAACTGTGACAGTGCTAAATCACTGCAATCCACATGGGCTAAGAGTAAAATTTACCAAAGCCTAGTCCCAAAGTTAGACCTGCTGGTCCCAGTTTTCAAAGGCAAGGAGTGCCAGATGAATTTCTGAGGGCTTTTACAAAGGCTTTCAAATGGCACATGCAACATTTTCCTCTGGCACAACAACTGAAAAGCTCTAATTTGATTTGCAGAGGTTGTCATGGCTTTCCCAAACTCAGAGATTATTGACAGTAATGTGAGTTACCGTGCCTGGCTGCAAGCTGCCTGGAAGGAAATCCCTGTGCTGGGGCTCAGTGCAGAGCGGAGTTTGCTCAGAGGCCACGGGGCACCTGGCCTGTTTGGTCACATTACATAAACCACCAGCAGCAACTTTGCTAAACATACATCTCTGCGGTGCATAGGTGACCTGGCTCCTCCAGGGCCTGATCACAGCTGTCCCTTGTCAGAGAATGCAAGCTGGGAGATGACCAGAATGATGGGATCTGGAGGACCCAGGACAGAGACGGCTGTCGCCTCTCCAAGCTTGCAGCTCAGCAGTGGGATTCGGACTCTGCCTGTGCCAGGGTCATGCAGAAACAGCCTGTCTGGAACAAATGCGCTGTTGTTTTGGTGACCCTGGCAAAGCTCCGAGTCCCCAGTGTGAAGACTGCTAGAGTGGTTCAGCATGTCTCTCTGTCTGGAGTCTGGTACCCAGGGTCCTGCGCTGCTGTGGGCTGGTATCTGACATTTCAAGTGGTGAGAAAAAAAAAGTCAAATGCAGGAATGAAATGGGTCTTTTTAAATGTTCCATGGGATTTTATTCATTTGCTTTGCCATGAGGTTTCCTCATGCTGCAACCTAGGCGAGGAGGAACCAGTCCAGTCTGGTGATCTGTGGCCTCCCAGATTAGTCGAGATGGTCACGTCGTGACTCATGCTCTGGCCCTCACATGAGCCATCAGGAGACAAGAGCTTTCAGGAGACTTTGACCAAGTAGGGTTGTGCAATCCAGCCAAGGCCTCCTCAAACACTTGTTTGCAGAGAAACGTTGTGCAACAATCACTCATTTGCTCACAAGGAAA